TCTCCTGGCAGCGCTAGCCATCTCTCTTTATCCGGCTCTCTCTTTCTCGGCCTGCTGACAAGTAGCTGACGCCATTTGCTCTGCCATGTGTTCAATTTCTCTTTTCTCGTTCTCCTCTTGCGCAAGACGTCGCTGTGCCACATCGGTGATTCCTGCAACGCTGGCTTCTGCTTGTTGCATCCGTCTCTGCGCATCTTCCGCAATGGCAATTCTCTCTTGTTCAACCTTTTTTTGCCATTGCATGTCTCTACGCTTCGGATTCTGCCAACGTCCGTTTGACTTCGTCAGCGGCTCCTGAATGGCTCTATAACGACAATTGTGCTCCTCCAACTTAACGCATTCTCCGCATAGCCAGACAACGCTGCACTTGGGACATACGTTCGAACAGTCCGAGCGTACCGGTCTAAGACACGGCCCCCACGGGTTGCGTGCTTTTCCTGGGCATCGGTTCTCCGCCGGCGGCAGGCACCTAGGTCCAGCGTCCCAGCGGCGATCCCGCATGGAGAAGCGACTGGTAGTCCTATTTGATGACAACCGAGGCGACTCAAGGGCATTGAACCTCCTGGAACTGGAGCGTCCGGCCCTGGGGGCCTTCGTACGTCCATTGCTGGAGGCAGGAGTATGCTGTCCCCTTGTTCTTACACCCTTGTTGATGACATCGATGTCTTGTTTTTGTGCCAACTCGTCTTTTTGGTCCTGCATTACCAGCCCATCAAGTTCTGGCACCCTGCCCCTGCTTGACCTCGTCAATGTGATGTCAGGTCGGTGAAAGCCTTCTGGCAGAGGGGGAGCATTCAGGTCGTCATCCTGATTCCTAGACTTCTTAACCTGTGGAAGTGAAAACGTTCCTGTGGGCCCCCATTTGCCTGACAGTGCCCAAACCTTCGGGCGAGTTCAACATCGGCTGCGCCGACGAACTCTTGCCTCGACCTGGGCTTCGCCCATCTCCAAAATCATCATCCGAATCGAGCGTAGCCTGTTGTATTGCATCGGCGTAGTCAATGGCATCGTCATCAGACGGGTCTACACCTGTGGCGAGGCCGTCGAATCCATTCGTATTGGGATTATGATTACGAGATGGACCAAGCGAGGTATGACACTGAGCGTACTCCTCGTGTCTCTCAATCGAATGCGAACTGTCTTTTTCAGATGGTAGATCGCTCTCTTCCTCGCCCTGACCGTGCATCTCAAATTGCGCTGCTTCTCCTGTGCTACAGTTGCCTTGATTTAGCGTTTCTCTGGGCGTTCGGTCCAGCAGTTTCTCCATTTCATGGTCTAAGTCGATCGACGGTTGGGAACTCGGGCGTGCTGGCACATGCCCTGATGACCCCGTGGCGGGAGTTTTGGCTGTGCCGTACCTCCCACCTGGGGTTTGTTCCCTTACTACTGTCGTCGAATCGACAGGGGAATCTCCTTCTGTTAAATCGAACACAATTTTCGACGCTCGTCCTGTTGGGAAACGGAGAGAACTAGGTCGCCTCATAGAGGCGCCTGCATCATGAATCTGCTCGGGACGATGACGGTCTTCTTCTCTTCCGAGCGATCCTTCCTGTGGCCCCATGCTCTGCGACGCTAGCGGCTGTGCCGCCGTTTCGGCTGATAACCAACCTTTTGCTGGGATATTCATAATCCCTGCAACATGTTCCGTTGACGTCTCATAGTCAGTGGGCTCCGCCGATGACATGGGTAACAAAAGATAGTGCCGTCAAGCATGCAATATGGTAACACTGAAGGGAGGAGGCCGGCCCGCCGGCCGACGCACGCGCGCGCGCCGCAGGCTCGCTCCTTTTCCGTTTACCTGGAGCCAAAGTGCAGCTGCAGGTAACATTCAAGTCAAGAAGGGAAGCAGACAGGACAACAGACAGCGCAAGCAAGGCTTAAGAGCAGGACGGGCGGCAGGCTGGTTGTGCGGAAGGGGTGCATTGACTCAATCGGGCGGGCGGGCGGGACAACACATGCAACCTTCACCCTTTGATGGGACCAAGTTGGGGGGACGTATATCGCTGCCAGCGAAATCGTTAGTCGGGCAGGCGGGTCATTCAACCTTCAGTCAGTGATGGGGCGGGCGTCGTCATCGTCACCGTCATCGTCCTCCTCATTATCATCAGCATCATCACCATCACCATCATCACCATCATCAGCATCATCAGCATCATCAGCATCATCAGCATCAACATCATCAATACCATCGCCATGACCATCATCACCACCCACATCATCACCATCGTAACCATTGCTACCACCATCATCGACATCGTCATCATCAGCAGCAGCATCATCATCAGCATCATTATCACCATCACCATCACCATCACCATCACCATCCCCATCACCATAATCACCGTCGCCATCACCATCACCATCACCATCACCATCGCCATCATCAGCATCAGCAAACGCATTACCATCATCAGCAGCATCACCATTACCATCACCATCACCATCATCAGCATCCGCATCCGCATCCGCATCACCAACATCACCACCATCATAATCATAATCATAATCATAACCATAATCATAATCATCATCATCATCATCATCATCATCATCATCATCATCATCATCATCATCATCATCATCATCATCATCATCAGCAACAGCAACATCAGCATCAGCATCAGCATCATCATCATTATCATCGCCAGCAGCCCATGACGGCCTCAGAGGCACCCCGCGGGTGCCTAGGGGGGTGGGGCGGGCGCCTGTGCGAGTAAGGCGATGTCATGCGCCGCCATTCGAAATGCGCCCCGCTTCCCTGGAGGCCTCCTGCATGGGGTCGGAGTATTACCAGCCTGGAACATATCCCTATCCCTATGCTGGGCACCTCCTCATCACGATGTCAGTCTTAGGGATTCCCTCATTTTTTGAGGGCGAATCCCTAAGATTGTCATCGCCTTTTGGCGTGTCAATCTTAGGGATAGGGATACGTTCGAGGCTGGAAAGAGTAGATGTGGTCGAAGGATCGCGCCGCATCGGCGATGCATCGCCGGCGTCGCTGGTGCATCGGCGACCCCAGCGCGGAGAACATTGGGCTCCACAGCGAGCCGCGTCGCCGATGCACCGTCGATGCGGAGCGATCGTCCGACCCCATCTGCTCCGACCCCATCCGGGGGGCCTGGATGGCCTCCCTTGCCGATCTGCCGCGCCGAGACGGGCTCGAGCTTCGCTTGAACTTTGTGTGGACCTCGTCTGGGCATTGTTCGAGCTTTTCCCCCCACCCCCGCCCCCGCCGATTCGAACTGGGGGGGGTGCCCCCCCCCCCCCCCCGGTTCGTAGGGGTAGAAACCGCCCCCTGTCTCATTTCTAACGGAACGCAGCGGCCAATCACTATATCACTGCACTGACGGAGCGGAAGCGCGGGCAGACGCCCGCGAACGCAGACGGGAACTCCACAGCTGACCCCATCTTCGCACAACGATCCAACGCAACGATGGTGGGGGAGGAGACGAGAGAGAGAGAGAGAGAGGGAGCACGTCAATGCCCGATGCGCCCGTGGGCTCCCGGTATTGGAAGAGCGTCGCATTTCTCAGCGAAGCGCGAAACCGTACTAGATATGCTGCCTCACTGCGCGCGGGCCCCGCTCGACGCGCCGCAGGAAGTGGCCGCGTTCCGCGCGCTGACGGCGAGGCCGACTCTGAGCCGAAGGGCCAATCTTGGGAGGGGGAGGCGGCACAGGCGGCGACTCAGCAAGACGATTGACGGGAGAGTAGAGAGAGAGAGAGAGAGAGTTGGATCAGCCATCCCTTGAGGCGGCATGTCAAACCACGTAAGTTGGGCAACTCCAGCACAGAACGGATCTTCCTCCGAGATGCTTCATTTTTCGCAGTTGTTTTTGATTAATGAGGCGTGGCCCTCCGAGTCGATCCTGACGATGTCGAGGACGTCGTCTCTCGTGGTCAGCGTCATAAAGGCGGGGCAGCTTGATCACCCTAGCTTGCAGCCCGACGAACACTTCTATTGCGCCTTCGGCATCCTCAGGGTTGGGGTCCATGCTTGACCGAATTGCCTCTGACGCATGCGAACTTCACGGGGTAGATCTTGTCGGCGCCCGAGGAGTGTCACGCGCTGAGGGTGTCCATCTTGCTTGCGAAGGTCCGTCCACGTCACGAGAGCCATGCCAGAACAAATGCTGAAACATGCTGCCTGCTGTTCTGTGTCCCAGGTGACCGAGCAGCTCTGAAAAGACCGATGGACATGAGGTGAAGCAGCAACGCCTGGAAGACTTGACGGGGAGCGAGCCACCATACTCTCCCACGTCGCACGACGAGTGATGCCGCGCCCAGGACCTTCCTTGGGTACATGCCGATCCAGCGTTGTCCCCAGGTCGCCGCTATCCTGCGGGAGGGGGGGGGATCCTCCACCCCAACCAATCTGACTGCTAGTCTGACTTGAGGCGCCACCAGTGAGGAACATACCACGCCTGCGTTTGACGCCATGCCAACCGATGTGATCCCACTCTCTGAATTGATCTCGCTGCGAACCTCCCTCCGTAGGGAGTTGCCTACTTCCATGCACCCCTGGTCTTCGGCGCCAGCGCTTTTTCGTGCGTGCGTGCATGCCCTGTCGCCTGCTGCATCTGGGGTTCCAGCTGGGGCGAGCCACTGTTGTGTCCGCCGCCCGAAAAGACTCGCTGATCGTCGCCACGTCGTGCAACTGCTGGGCCGTCATCGCAACCTCGCCAGGATGTGCCCACCCGCAGTGGCAACAAAGCTGAGAGGGCGAGACAGAAACCGCGACTTACACACGGCCGGGCGGCTCTAGGCGTATGAAAGAGATGCCGTGCTGAACAGCCGTGCCTGCCTCGGATCAGAGGTCTCCGCCTCGACCCCTCGGGGAATCGCGCACCTTGGGCCGAAACAGCCACCAAGGAGGATTAGGAGGAGGAGGAGGAGGAGGAGAGGATGGAGGAGGAGGCGGAGGAGGAGGAGGAGGAGGAGGAGGAACGGTTCCTGGGCCCGCTCGACTCGGCCTTTCCCCCGCCCTGGATGGGCGGCGGCCTCCTTCAGCTTGGCGGCGATCGCCTTGTCCAGCCGCTGCTCGGCCTCGCGGAGGCGCGAGGCCTTCTCGTCCAGCAGTTTGTCCTGTCAGACGGGCGCGGCGCGCCTCCCCGGGCTTCTCCCCTCGGGGACGGGGGGAGGACGAAAACAACGACGACGTCGTCGTCATTTGAATCGCCCCTCCTCCTCCTCCTCCTCCTCCTCCTCCTCCTCCTCATTATTCCTCCTCCTGCTTTCTCCTCTCCTCCTCCTTCTCCTCCTTCCTCCTGCTTTCTCTCCTCCCTCCTCCTCCTCCTCCTCCTCCTCCTCCTCCTCCTCCTTTTCCTCCTTTTCATCCTACTCCCTCCTTCAGCTGCTTCCCCCTCCCCCTCCTCCCCCTCCTCCTCCTTTTCCGCCTCTTCCTCATCCCCCTCCTCCTCCATCACTTTTTCTTATAAATAACTTTTCCCTGTCGCACCCAGAAGCCAGTTTTCAGGGCGGGCCTGGCGTTTCGCCTGTTCCTCACCATGTATGACTCTGAAGCTTAACAAGTGGCAACAGCTTCACATATTGAGGGCGGGTGGTTTTCAACATGTGGCTCTCGCCTTAGCGCCGCGCGCATTCGTTTTAAGCAAGAGTTTCACGGATTGAGGGCGAGTCGTTTTCAACATGTTGCTCTCGCCTTAGCGCGCATTCGCTATTGTTTATAACAAATGCAAGGCTTTCACGGTGTGAGGGCGGTTCCTTTTCAACATTGGGCTCGCCTTAGCGCCGCGCACATTCTTTTTAAACATTCGCAAAAGTTTCACGTATTCCCATGATCAGCGTACCAGAAATCAGCCGGCCCCCTTGTGGGGCCACCAGGCTGTAGGCCGAAGGTTCGCAGTTGTCTGTAGCAGTTGCAGCTTCCAGTTTCCACTGTTACAGTTCTGCTTCTTGCTGCTTACGGTTCCTTGTTGATGGACCGCGCGAGGGGGGGGAGGCCCAAACGGGCAGGTTTAGCACGCCCTGAGCGTGTGCTCTGAATTGCTGGGGTGGGTAAAAATTGACACCCCTCACGCAGATCGGCGGGGGCAGGGTGCAAAAACACATGGAATTTGCCACATGTTTGAAATTCGGTGGCACCCGTCGCGCAGATCGGCGGGGTCAGGGTCTAAAAACATACGGGATTTGCTGCATTTCTGAAATTTGTTGGCACCCTTCACGCAGATCGGCGGGGTCAGGGTCCAAAAAATACAGATTTGCCAAATTTCTGACATTCGGTTGCACCCCTCACGCAGATCGGCGGGGTCGGGGTGCAAAAACATAGAGGATTTGCAACATTTCTGAAATTCGTTGGCACCCCTCACACAGATCGGCGGGGTCAGGGTCTAAAAACACATGGGGTTTGCAAAAATTCTGAAATTCGGTTGCACCCCTCACGCAGATCGGCGGGGTCAGGGTCCAAAAACACATGGGATTTGCCACATTCCTGAAACTCGATGGCACCCCTCACGCAGATCGGCGGGGTCAGGGTCCGAAAACCCAAGGGATTCTCAACATTTCTGAAATTCGGTGGCACCCCTCACGCGGATCCGTAGGGTCATGGTCAAAAAACACTAGGGACTTGTCACATCTTTTTAAAATCAAGTGGCACCCCTCACGCAGGCCGGCAGGGTCACGACGTCTTACCAATCTCCAGGTGTGGTGACCCCTCTGGTCATCTATTGGTTTTGCTCGTTACGAGTCGGCCTCGCATGAAGTTCCGATACTGCTTCACGACAGTGCCCAGGCCTCATGACATAGCTCTTGCATAGCGCATTCTCCGAGAGAGGGGGCCGGCGGCAGGGGGCAACACCCTTACGGATAGTGTTTTGGAAGGATTCAGGATTATGCGGGTGCAACACTTATCTTGATTCGGTTTGTTGAAGTCTCAAAAATGGCGTTCTTGCACGATCCCAGATCGTCAGGACGCAGCAGTCAGGTGGATCCGTGGCGTGGAGGCAGTTCCCTCGATGGAATTGCACCGTTGTAAGTTGTAGGGGCCTATGAAGAGGGAGTTTGGAGGAAGGGTTAATTCCAACATCGTTGATGGCTCCTGGGTTTACACTGGTCCTCCTCCCTCCCTCCTCCTCCTCCTCCTCCTCCCTCCTCCCTCCTCCTCCTCCTCCTCCTCCTCCTCTCCTCCTCCTCCTCCTCCCCCTCCCCTCCCCCCCTCCTCCTCCTCCTCCTCCTCCTTCTCCTCCTCCTCCTCCTCCTCCTCCTCCTCCTCCTCCTCCTCCTCTTCCCTTTTCATCCGTGCGCTGAGGAGGATGAAGAGAGGAAGGAGGAGGAGGAAAAGGGAAAGGAGGAGGACTGTAATTTAGCGCTGGTGCCTTTGATGGTAGGCAAAGCCCTGTAAAGTCGGATGGGGCATTAAGGCTCACTTACCCTTAAAATTAAAACGGTGCCCCAACGTGCAAGGACCGTCGTAGGCTTGTGGTGTGAGTGTCACCATACCACTAGTCAACCACCTCCGTTGTCATATATGTTGATTTTCTCTCTGCTTGTGCGCCAGAGAGGTTGGAGCGAATCTGCACACGCCGGAAGCGGTTGTGTTTGAGAGGCTCTGTCTCCCTCACCTCCTGCCGGCTTGGAGGATGCGGCGGAGTGAGGGCGCCAAGGAAATTAGTGGGGGACAATCAGGCTACGCAGCGCTGTATGCGCGTGCGTGCGCGTGCGGCAGGGTGCAACCAGGGTATAAGTGGATGGTACATGTGGACAACGTAACCCCAAGCCACCTCTGTACGGCATCTTAGGTTTGACAGGGGCACCTCGGTGGCCCATATCGCCATGTACCGTACAGGTGATAAGTCATGTTGCATGTCCCACCGCCTGTGCAGGAGGATGAGCTGTCAGCCCCCAGAATCGCATTATACGCTGGTTCCCAAACCATGTTGAAGGGCCCCAGGAGAGCTCTCAGGGGGCCGCAAGGGCGGGACGGCTCAATCCGTTAATAGGGACATGTGGGCCTGCTAAGCCGCGGGGAGGATCGCCTTCCTGCTGGTGAAGGACTGGGGCGCCACCCGAGGGGTGCCAGGGGGGGCCTGCTGCACCACAGGCGTATTACCACCCTAGGTTGACCCGAAAGGGCAACGCGCAGTCAGGACGGGTGACCACCCTCAAGGTGCATTGGGCGGCTCACTACCCTGCCGCCGATGTCTTCGCTGGCCTTTTGACAGGTGGGACCTGCTCCATAGTGGATCCGGCCTCCGCCCTTGGGACAACCTGGGGGGCTCACTGGAGACTCGGTAGGCCACTGGCAGCGGCCCGCACGGGTCTCTGCACCCACCGAAGGCGGTTGCATGTGAGAGGAGAACTTTTCCTTACCTCCCACACCCCAGCATGCCAGCAACTGAGCAACGTGGCGAAGCGAGACAAACGCCCGCATTTCCGCCCCGAATTGCGGCCTCGCTGACAAGACAAATCTGTGGCTGTGCGGGCCCATCCTCGGAACATCGGGGTGTCGCCAGAACTCGTGACATCTTCGTTGCACAGTGCTTGGCTTGCGCGTCAGAGGGGTTGGAAGTTCAGGGCACCCGCTGGAGGCGGTTGCAACTGAGACGCTGCGACTTCCTCATCTCCTGCCCTCACGCTGGAGAAGGCTAAGTAAAGATATGCATGAGACGAGCGGGGGCACGCGTGCGACAGAACTCTGAGAGCGCGTGCGTGCGCGAGCGACATATGCTCAACGGGGTACGCATGGCCCCCCAGGTCGCAACTCCGTGGTGCTGATGCGGGCGCTGATCTGACAATCAGTGTAGACCCCCCCGACAGTTGACTTTTCCGCCGCTTGTAGATGACACGAATGACCGATGACCGGCAGTGGGTTGCATGTGAAGTCTTCCCCTCGCCTCCCGCAACCCAGTACGCCAGCAGCGGAACGACGTGGCGAAGCGGAGCAAACGCTTGCATTTCCGCCCCGATTTTCGGCCTCTTCAACAGGACAATGTTTGGGTGTGCTGGCCTATCAGCAGTCGTACTGCGCTGGCCAAGGCAGCTGTCCCGTGGGATGCTAGCCCATCCTCGGAACGTCGGTGGCGCCGAAATTTGTGACATTCTCGTTGCTCAGTGCTTGACATGCGTGCCAAAGGAATTGGAAGTTCAGGGCGCCCGCCGGAAGCGGTTGCAATTGTGACGCTGTGAGTTCCTCATATCCTGCCTCGCGCTGGAGAAAGCCGAGGGAACTCATGCATAAGACGGGTGGGGGCACGCATGCGACAGAACGCTGGGCGCGCGTGCGTACGCGACCGACTTGTGCTCAACGGGGTACGCCGTGGAGATGACGGGGGCGCTTATCTGACAACAGGTGCAGACCCCCCAGACCCCTGAAAAGTCCCCAAGAAGGGCCCAAGACATCTCCAACCATATTCAAGGGGCCACACACAAATTACCCCAGTGCGAACCCTACCTAGAAGTTGGAGCTGTGCTATACTATGCTATACTATGCTCTGCTGCGCTGTGTTATGCTGTGCTGTGCTGTGCTGCGCTATGCTATGCTGTGCTGTGCTGTGCTGTGCTATGCTGCGCTATGCTATGCTATGCTGGGCTATGCTATGATATGCTGTGCTGCGCTATGATATGCTATGCTACGCTATGCTATACTATGCTGTGCTCTGCTATGCTAGAGCCCAGCGAAGCTAAGATGAAGGTAAGCTAAGCTAAGATAAACCTGAGCTAAGATGAAGCTAAGCTAAGATGAAATAAGCTAAGCTAAGATAAGATAAGCAACGCTAAGCTAAGGGGACGTCACTGGGGGAACCGCGGGGCGGATACCAGGGGAACCGCCCGGGGCGGTTTCCACTGCCCGGCCCCTTAAGAAAGAGAGTAAGAACCCTCTAGGCAGAGCCTAGGTAGGGAATAAACCTGAGCTAAGATGAAGCTAAGCTAAGGACGTAACTGGGGGAACGGCGGGGCGGATGCCAGGGGAACCGCCCGGGGCGTTTTCCACTGCCTGGCCCTTTGAGCAAATCGAGTAAGAACCCTTCTAGGCAGAGCCTAGGTAGGGAATAAAAGGATTCCCCATATTTTCCAATATTTTCTGGGTGTCTGTCTTCCCCCCCCACTGCCCATATTTTCTAATATTT